CGGATGTTCACAACCGGTACGAGTCTAAGATAAGATTGAAGAAGATCAGGTCGGCTTTCTGGCGTCAACAAAAGGTCGGGAGAAGAATAAAGAAAAATCAAAAGACGATTTTGAGACGGATAGACAGCCTACAAGGAGCCGATTTTTGCCCTATGAACGGGTCGAAGGACACGACAGAGGTTTTCGATCGGCAGACAGGTTGATTACCGACAAAAGAACTGATCGCGGCCGGAACAACAGATCATTGCAGGACAAAGAAACGTCAGGTACGCGGGATCTTTCCTACCCCAGGCTATCATAACACAATTTTAACGTCAGTATAATGGAGTTGGTATCAGCTATGAGAAACATCAAAGAAGCACGGTTCCCGAAGTCGATGAGATCCGATCCCAGCTAGAGGGATCCCAACTTGTGGTGTGATTACCACGGGACGAATGGCCACCAAAATGGGGACTACCGACATCTGCGGGAGGAAGTGGCGAAACTATTGAAGAATGGGCATCTTAGAGAATTCTTAAGTGACCGGGCCATGAACAACTACGGTCGCAACCTGGATAACACGGAACCCTCGAAAGTAGGAGAAGATCCCCCTTGCCAGATAATCAACATGTCGGGACGAATGAGATCAACGGAGTTACCTTCTCAGAAGCAAAGAAGACAAAGGTATCAATAACCCATAGCAAGAGACTCCGGGAAGTTGCTAAAGATGAAATCACTTTCACAAAGGAGGATGCAGACAAATTGTTGCTACCTCACAACGATGCATTGGTAATTTCTCTAAATGTTCTAGATTTCAAAATAAAACGGGTTCCAGTGGATCCAGGAAGTTCAGGCAATATCATAAAATGGAGGGTATTGGAGCAAGCCAAACTCAGCATGACAACCGGAGAAGAGATCTTGTTGCCCACGAATGCCAAAGGAGTGATGAAGACGATTCTTTTCAAAGTGGTGGATGGTGATATGGCATATAATATCATTCTGGGAAGACCATGGTTGCACGAGATGAGAGTTCTATGGTCAACGTATCATTAATTACTGAAATTCCCAATGCCCGAAGGAATCAAACAGATAAGGGGCGATCAACAAGCAGCAACGGAGATGAATGTGATTTCCAGTCTCCTGTAGCAAAGGGAAGGAGCATACAACATAGCAATTATAGGAACCGGTGCCTGCTCCCAAATCAAGTGGAGTTAACAGGGGGAAGAGGCGTCGGAATTTTATCAGGTGCCAAGATACTTCCAGGTGAGGAGATGGATGCAACAAAGTCCATAGTGGAAGAGCTCGAGCAAGTTTCATTGTTTGAAAATTTTTTGGAGAAGAAATTCCATTATTGCAAACGAAAAATATTTTGTACACAAAGGTTATATTTTACTATCAAATTATAAAATTACGTGCTTTCTTTTGTTCTTAATATTGTTCATACTACTGCTTCCGTAGAAGCTCATCATACCAGCAGGCTTGTATTTATTTAAGTTTTTTTTGTTGATAAAACTAACATTTTATTTCATAAAAAAAAAAAACTGTCATTACATATCCAGATTAATGCTGACCATTAAACTCCTATTTACTATTTACACTCATAACACTAACCTACACTACTTCAAAGTAACTATATCTAGTCTAAAGAAAATTGTTTAAGCTCTCTAATTCCTTTTGCCATTTGGTCTTCTTTCTCCCTTGTATGTGTATATGCATAGCAATTTCCTTGCATAATTCATCCATGTTATATCTGCCTTTGTTGAATCTAATCGAATTCCTTTCGCGCCAAATGCAGTAAACTACCATCGTGAAAGTAGTTGTAGTTATTTCTGCTTTACAGTTCTTCCTACTTGCCAATCTGCTCATCCAAATCAGCTCATCTTGCCAGCTTCCTATCTGCCTTGTGATTCCAAGCCATTTCAATACTCTGTCCCATAATTTGTTAGTTTTTGGACAGCCAAAGTATAGAAGCTCAAAAGCTTCCATGTTAGTTGCACAGAACACACATTCTAATGGAGCTTGAATTCTAAATTTCATGAGTCTGTCTACTGTTGCTAGCCTTTGATGAATAGCCAGTCACAGGTGAAATTTGAATCTAGGATGAATATGTGTATGTAGATGAATGCTTTTCCACATAACTTTTGGAAATTGAGGTTGCATCTGAACATAAGCTTTGTGGATTTGGAACTTGCCTTGCTTTACTAAGGTATCCAATGTAGATATAATGCTATTCTGTCCAGGCCTCATCTGCTTCACATCCTCTCTTGCCTCAATGATCTTCCTGACCACCCATGCTGCTGCTTTGGGTGTGTCCATTTCTGCAATATCTCTGTTCTTTATATAATAATTGTGAGCCCATTTAATCTACAATGTATCTTTCTTCATAGCCAATGCCCAGAGATGTTTCAGCAATGCTGCTTTATTTCATATCTTCATGTTTATAACATTCAAACCTCCTGTAGATTTAGGCTGACATAACTTATCCCATGTAATCAAAGCTTTCCTTGAGCACTCTGTTGAGCCAGTCCACAGAAAGGTCCTACATATTGTTTCTATCTTCTTCATGATCTTTTTTGGAAGCAAAAAAATTTGAGCCCAATATGTTTGTATGCCAAACAGCGCATATTTGATCAGTTGAATTCTCCCAGAATATGACAGCAACCTGGCTGACCAGCATCTTACTCTTTCAGTGATTTTTCTACCAGTGGTAGACATTGGTGAATGTTCAGCTTTCTTGTCGAAAATGGAACCCCTAGATATTTAAAGGGTAAAGATCCTTATGTATATCTAGTAAGTTCTATCAATTGCTCCTTTATATGTTGTGCCACACCAGTGATATATATGGAACTCTTTTCTGCATTTGCTTGCAGTTCAGAAGCATCTGAGAATCTATTAAAAGCTTCATGTAATTTAGTAACTGAATCAATATCACCCCTGCAAAACATTAACAAATCGTCAGCAAAACATATGTGTGTTACTCCCAGCTTCTTGCACTTGGGGTGGAATTTGAACTCCTTTTGTTTGGCCAGTTGGTTCATCTCTCTTTGTAGGTATTCCATAGCAATCACAAAGAGATAAGGAGACATTGGATCTCCTTGTCTTATTCCTCTCTTAGCTGGGAAAGGTTTGGTCAGTCCCCCATTTAGAACCAATGAATAGGATACTGTTGTCACACATTCCATTATCCATAGAATGAATTTCTGAGGGAAGCCAAGATCAGTAAGCATGTAGTTAATAAACTGCCATTCCAGTGAATTATAAGCTTTCCTTAAGTCTACCTTGAGAACATATCTTGGAGACAAGCCTTTCCTATTATATCCATTGAAGAGTTCATGACTGAATAGGATATTATCAATAATACTCCTCCCTTCTATAAAAGCAGATTGTGCTTTCCCAATTATAAGCTCAATCACCTTTTTGATTCTTTTAGTCAGTATCTTAGCAATGATTTTGTACACAGTGGTGCAGCAAGCAATAGGCCTATAGTCCTTCACTGTTGTAGGAGCTGGAACTTTAGGGATCAAAGTTATAGCTGTACAGTTCCATGCTTGCTTCATCTTGCCTATTTGGAAAAAGAATAGCACAGCATCATATATATCTTGTCTCACTACCTGCCAATGCCTTGTGAAGAACTCTATTGGACATCCATCAACTCCAGGGGCTTTATCATTTGGCATGTCCTTCACTGCTTCATCTATTTCTGCATATGTGATGTCCTGAATTAGGTCCTGCTGTAGTTGCATTGAGAGGCACTCTCCTTCTTTGATGAATTTGGTATTAGGGCATGGCTTTAGACCAGTAGCTTTTCCCATAAGTTGTTTGAAAAAGCAAGTGAATTCTTTTTCTACATCTTTAGGGTCAGTGATCTTAACTCCCAAATCATTATATACAGAGGCAATTGTGTTCTTGCTAGCTCTGATCTTCAGCTATGCATAGAAGTATTTGGATTTTGAATCCCCATAATCAATCCAATTCACTCTAGCCTTCTACCTTAGTATTTTCTCCTCTATGATGCTCCATTTCTCTAGATCCTGAAGTGTTTGCTTCTCCTGGTCTATCCATACTTGGTTGAAAGGATCAAGTATCAAATTGGCCTGTGTACACTCCAGTTTCTGTCTAATTTGGGTCAATCTCTGTGTATAACTTGCCATCTCCTTGTTTAAACCTCTAGTCCCACCTTTCAACTTTTGCAACTTCAACCAGATACCAGACAGAGGATCATTTCCCATCTTCTGCTTCCAAATTCTTTCTACAATAGGCTTAAACTCCTTGTTTTCCATTGTTACCATGTATAGCTTGAATGGCTTGGGATATATAGTATTCCTTCTCCATATTTGGACTAAGATAGGTGAGTGATCCGACATACCAGGTTCTAAGCAATCAGCTTCCACATGCCCATAATCTTTGGTCCATTCAAAATTGCCAAAAGCCCAATCAATCTTACTGTATACTCTATCATTTGCACTTTGCTTATTACACCAAGTAAAGAAACATCCCTTAGTCCTCAGTGGGGTCAGTTGCATATTGTCTATACAGTCTTTGAACTCCTGCACCTCATTCATAGTGACTGGTTGTCCTAATCTATCATCTGTGGTTAGGACATTGTTGAAATCACCACTTATGAGCCATGGGATTTGAGTCTGCCCTCCTAGCTGTTGTAGACCATTCCATAGACTAGCCCTTTCTTGTAATTTGTTTCTAGCATACACTACAGTCAACATAATCTTGTATCCAGCCACTGGATCCATCACTAGGCAGTGAATGAATTGCTCATGGACTTGAATATGTTAACTGTCAAATTTGTTCTCCATAACAGCCATATTCTCCCATTCTCAGCCTTAGTATAGTTATAGCAGTAACCCCAATCCTTTGCTACCTTATACAAGATATTTTTTGCCTTTTTTTCTTTCTCTGGTTTCTAGACATCCTAGGATATCTATCTTATTCTTTTTGCAGAAAGATTCTCAGTTCCTTCTGCTTATGGGGCTTATTCAGCCCTCTTATGTTCCAAGTACTGATAATCATGGTGGTTTTTGTATAGGATCAGAGTTATTCACCCCTCCTTGTACACCACATTCTTCCAATATTGCAAATCTATTGGAAGTGCTAGCCTCATCATTTATCACCTGCTGAACACCTGCAGTATTTTGTCTTTCATTGTTTTCCCTCCTTTGTATCATCATGCTCCTTTGGTCTGGCTTATCTACTGAGACCTGCCTGTCTTTGTCAATTGGAGGTTGTACTTCATTCTCTTCTCCAATCCCCTCCTCTTGTTCCTGCTGTGCTTTTGGCTTCCATTCCTGAATAACTTTCCTTCCTCTGCCTCTATTCCTTCTTTTTGGGGCCTTGAATTTAGCATCTTCATTCTGTTTAGTTGAATTCCAGCATTCAAAGCTATCATGACCAAAATGTAAGCAGTTATTACAGAACTTTGGCCTCTATTTATACACTATTTCCTGTTGTCTAGTACCAATGGGAGTTGCAATCTCAATAGTCTCCACTAGTGGCTTTGTAATGTCAACTTTCACAAGTACTCTGGCATAGGAGATTTTGTTCAATTCTACTGTAAATTTATTAGTGTACAATGGTAAACCTACAGCACTAGCCCCCTTGCTAAATGCATCAGCAGTCCAATACCCAGCTGACAGACTAGGTAAGTGAATCCACAAGGGAATAGTAGTGATACACTTAGGATCAAAGTGGAAATCCCTCTCCCAATTCTGGAAAATAAATGGCTTGTTATGATATGAGTAAGGCCCTGCTTGCATGACTGCATCTCTTTCCTTCACAGTTGTGAATCGAAACACATAATATCCTTCTTGGTGATACAGGATTTGAGGTCTAGTGACAAAATCCCAGACTGATTCAACATAGCTCTCCATAGATTTCTCATACGGAGTATCCCCAAGTACATACCCAATTAAAGCAGTCGCCCAGTGTTCCTTTAGCTCACTTACATCCTCTTCCTCTATTTGAATGACAATCTTACCATCTCTATGACTTGGTGGAATATACTCCAGCCTCATCCCCATTTATGAGTTCCAATTTTGTTGTCTTAGTTCCTTTGCATGCATGACCTTCCCTATCTCTGCTTTGGCTGTTAGATCTGGATCTGGAGATGATTTTGATGATCCAGCTTCAGAAAATTGCAATCGTTTTGGACTGGTTGGCAATTGATCTTTGGATTTCTGAGCTTCCTTCACAGTAATAGCAATTTTACTGTTCCATTGAGTACTGTTCCCTTATTCGTCCTCACTTAGCTCATTTTCCTCTTGAATTGGTCGGAAACTAGGTGGTAGAAAACTTCCAAACGTAAACGGAGTGAAATTCTACATTGTTGAGGTCATCGGAGTTATAGCAGCAGTCACCGGCGCTGCTTGTTTGCGTCTCCTTGCCATCGATGGTGCACGTTAGCCTCCCTTGGCTTATCGTGCGCCGAGAGCATTTAGGAGCACGTTCCTTCAATCCTTTCTCATAGTTATCTCTTAAGAAGTGGTGTCTTATTTATTTAAGTTATTTTTACATTTTTAATTTCATTATTTTTTATTTTATATTGTTGGATCAAATTAATTCACGTGTCTATAAACAACGTTACAAATTCAATTGTATCATTTTACGGGTAGGCAGTATGGCTTTGATCTATTAATTTGTTACTAACAAATTTTGATTCCTTTCTTAGCAAAAGAAAAACCAGATATGGCATCTAATGATGTCAACAATTCATATAATGTTGGAGAACACAATGAACTTGAGGACGTGTTCCAACGTGATGATTCAACCAGCGAAACCCGTAATGAAGGAGATGAAACAACTCAAGGTCGCAGAAGTAAAAATCCTCGACATGTTAGGAGTCCAACTCCTGATGATGTGGATGATGAACATGTTGAAACGGTCAAAATCTTGAGAGAGCAACAAAGGAAATTATGTATCACCTCTCAAGACAAATCAGGTGATGACATAGCTGAAACAGGCATTATTGGGTCCTTCCAATAATGCTGATGGAAGAGCTCTGATTCCTCCTAGCATCCTTGCAAATCAAACAGTCCAAAGAACTGGTAACTACGGTCCAAAGGAGGAGTTTGGTTTTGACGAGGCAGGAGGTACCGGTAGTGGATCTGGGAACGTCAACAACGCAAATGACCCTTTCAAAATCGAGCTCATGAGGTTCATGAGAGAAATGAATGAGGGAATGAACCAAAATGCAAAGAAATTTCATGCTCAGATGGATCAGATCCCAGGAGCGCCGTTGGTGTTAAGGGAGCGTATTCTAAAAAGTATATGCAGCTGCCATTTAAACCAAGTGAAGCTCCAGAATTGATCTCTAAGAGGTTTAAAATGCCAAATATTTTGAAGTATGATGGGACTTCAGATCCACAGGAACATATTACGACCTACACAACGGCTGTAAAGGGAAACAACCTGGCCCAACACGAGATCGAATTTGTTTTGTTGAAGATGTTTGGCGAAACCCTGAAAAAAGATGTGTTAACTTGGTATTCTCTTTTACCTGAGCATTCTCTTGATTCTATTGAAATGCTTGTAGATTCGTTTATCAAAGCTCATGCTAGAGAAAGAAACGTTCAAGCAAGAAAGGAGGATATATTCTTACCCCAAGGTGAATTTGAACTGTTGCGAGAGTTCGTGATCCAATTTCTGAAGGAAATGTTACCAGCAATACCTGATGAGTGGACAGCGAAGGCATTTACAAAGAGAGGGTCGATGTGCGTAGAAATAATGGTTTTCACTTATCGAATAGGTTCTCTTCCAATAGAAGGGCGGATCGTGGTATAAGTAATAGATCATTGTAGGAGAAAGAGGCGTCAGGGTCCCGAGATTCAACATATCCCAAGTTATCCGATTATAATTTTAATATCAGCTTGGTAGAATTGGTGTCGGTTATGAGGAATATTAAAGAAGCTAGGTTCCCAAAACCAATCTGATCGGATCCTAGCCAAAGGGATTCTATTCTATGGTGTGACTTTCATGGAACTCACGGCCACAGGACGGGGGACTGCCGACACTTTCGTGAAGAAGTAGCAACATTATTGAAGAACGGTCACCTCACATAGTTTTTAAGTGACCGCGCAAAGAAAAACTATGGGAGAAATCGAGATGTTGCAGAACCATCAAAACCGATCGCAGGGTCATCTCATATGACGATAAACAGGATCTTCGGTGGAGACGAAGTAAATGGGGTGACATTTTCTACAGCAAAGAAGACAAAGATATTGATAACTCATGGCAAGATGATGCGAGAGGTCTTAGAAGATGACATCACATTTGCAGAAGAAGATGTTGATGGACTTCTTCTACTGCACAATGATGTTCTGGTAATCTCTCTTAATGTTTTAGCTTTTAAAATTAAACGTGTGTTGGTTGATCCAGGAAGTTTGGCCAACATCATACAATGGAGAGTTTTGGCAACAAGCTTTTAGCGGGGTTCAACTTAACACGTGTTACGACCCGAGAAAAAAATCTGTTGCCCACGCATGCCGAAGGGGTAACAAAGATCACCCTATTCGAAGTCGTAGATGGAAACATGGGTTATAATGTGATCCTAGGGAGGCCATGGATACACGAAATGAAGGTTGTACCTTCAACATATCATCAGGTGTTGAAATTTCCCACACTAGAAGGGATCAGACAGATCAGAGGAGATCAACAAGCTGCAAGGAAAATGAATGCAGTGACCGCCCAGTAGCAAGGTTAAAGAAACGAGCAAATAGTAATTACAGCAACCGGTGCCCTCTTCCACCTCAATTGAAGATCAAAAAGAAGAGAAGTCATCGAAATTTTATCTAGTACCGAAGAAAACAGATGCGACCAAATCAACCGTAGAAGAGCTCGAACAAGTGGCCTTGTTTGAAGAATTCTTTGTAAGGAAGTTTCACTTAAGAACATGTTTGAGTCCCGAACCCAGGTTAAAAATTATGAATTTTTATAAAATCTAACGTTGATTATCTTGCATGGTCGCATTCAGATATGACAGGTATTCTATTGGAAGTGGCTGTCCACAAGCTGAGCTTAGATCCTAACTTCCCTCCGGTAAGGCAAAAGAAACGAGCGATATTAGAGGTCAGAAACAGGTTTGTCCAGGAAAAGGTAACCTTGTTACTGAATATAGGTTCAATTCGGAAGGTAAATTACCCCTATTGGCTAGCTAACATAGTGGTAGTACCTAAAAAGAATAATAAATTCAGAATGTGTGTAGCTTATAAAGATTTAAATAAGGCATTGCCCGAAAGACTCTTTTCCGTTGCCAAACATTTATCAAATGATTGATGCTACAGCCGAACATGAGCTACTGAGTTTTCTTGATACTTATTACAGGTATAATTAAATTAAGATGGACCAGAAAGATCAAGAGAAGACTTCTTTTATTACAAATTCTGGCACATACTGCTATAATGTGATGGCTTTTGGGCTTAAAACTGCCGGAGCCACTTATCAGAGGCTTGTTAATAAAATGTTTGAAAAACGGATAGGTAAGACAATAGAAGTTTATATTGACGACATGTTAGTTAAGTGTCTTAATGCAGGAGATCATGTGAAACATCTCCAAGAGATATTTGACATTCTGAGAAAATACAACATGAAGCTTAACAGGGAGAAGTGCACCTTCGGAATTGATTCCGATAAGTTCTTGGGGTTTCTGGTCTCTCAAAGAGGATTTGAAGTAAACCCCGATAAAATCAAAGCCATCGAGGATATGACTAGTTAACAAGTGTGAAGAAAGTACAGAGGTTGACCAGTAGATCGGCGGCTCTAAGCAGGTTCATCTCGAGGTCTTCGGAGAGTGCTCGTGTGGACTCCGAAATGCCAACAGGTACCGAAAGATCTAAAAACGTACCTATCTAGTCCTTCATTGTTGTCGAAACCAGAAGAAGGTGAACAACAATTGATTTGTTTGACGGTATCAGAAGTAGCGGTAAGTGTTGTGTTGGCCCAAGAACAGGTAAAGTTTTGAATACTGACAAAAGAACTCAGACATGGACCAGGTCCATCTTGTGAAGCACAGTCATGATCAACCCAAACATGTGAGATACACGTGGAGGAGATAAATCTAACTTATCTAGAAGTAATATCTCCTGATCTGATCGAAAAGGTTGCATATTGGATAAGGAGAGAAAGACTCCTTACATGAAGAGAACACAGTTTATGAAGAGGATAGTGTTAGAGTATGAGATCAACTTGAACTCTTCTACGATAGAAGAGTAGCATCTGTATCCCAGTCAATCTCTAATTACTAACCCATTAAATATCAGTGTTGTTCTCTTTTACGGGTAATGCACATAAGCCGAAGTTAAAACTTAAATTGAGAGCAAAAGAGCGAGGCGATTTTGCAAGCAATTTATATGTGATTCAAGCGTGCAATCCTGAAGCTACTTGAACAAGATAGAAGAACCAGTTCCAAGTGTCTATCTTTTATTCTAGTTCAATTGTAGTAGGTGATTTTACATTGTACCTTTCAGCTTTTATAGAAGCAATTGTATTAGGTACCTAGAGTGTTCAAGTTAGAGTTAACTTAAATTTGTCGCAACAGTTGAGGCTGTGTGCCACAACGGGTGTCACGACCCAAAATACACTAAGGGTCGTGGTGGCGTCGGACACCTCTGTCAGGCAAGCCAACTAAATTATCAATTAAATTCTCTTTAATACCTTTGAAAATCTAGGATTTGTCCTTCCATTTTTCATAATTTAAAACAATCTCTGCTTCAATTAAAATTAAGTAATAACTATTAGTACACATCTTTCAAAAACCATCCCAGAACCCGGTGTCACAAGTGCATGAGCATCTATTGATAAGGAAAATAAAATACAATATCTGTCCGAAATACAGTGGACAGGGAATAAATATAAAAATGCTGAAAGGAACTCCACTAGCTGCGGGTCGCCTCGAATAATGCAGCTCACCTAGTACCAGAATCATCCGCGCTGCTACCCCCAGTAGGCCGCTAGAGGTATATATACCTGTGCAACAAAAATGCACAGAAGTGTAGTATGAGTACGTAAACAACATGTACTCAATGAG